TGAGCAACGGCACATTTAAATCTTACAAATATAGTTATTTGGCTTATATCGTGATAGATATCGTTATCGCCTGAAATGGAAAAAACATATCGTGATATGAAAAAATCTCATATCGCCCAGCTCTAGTTTCCAGGGTTACTGGCCAACCCTTTGTTGGGCTGACTAGGCTCTAGGGCTATGTGACTGAGTCCTTAATCAAGTATATTCAGGGAACCTGTTGCAATTGAAGTCACCACAAATGCTAATTTTCCTTTGTTTAAATAATTTTTGCTAGTGTCTATATTTCAAAAAGTGCAATAGAGGGAAAAGCTGCATTAAAAATATAGATTTTTGTCTCCCTCAAACTTAAGTGACACAGCTGAGCTTTTGTGTTTTTGAAAACCATCGGGGGCTCATTGTACTTTAGAAGCTTTGTCTATATAACAATACTGTATTGCCATTTAGACCTCAGGGTTTTGCTTGACCTGCTAAAAAATTCTCCGACATACATAAAGTACAAAACAAAAGCAGTGTAGCAAATCATATCATGAAGAACAAGTTGTGGTGATAAATTCAGATGATTCATCTGTTTACTGACATAGTTTGATAGTATCTGTTGTTGAGGTTAAGGGAGGGAATGCCCTGAAGTTGTGACTTTTTTCTTTTTTTTTTTTGTGTTACAGGAAAAATCCTCAGCGATGACTCACCGCTCAAAGAATACAAAATCGACGAGAAGAACTTTGTGGTCGTCATGGTGACAAAGGTTTGGGAATTAGGAATAGTTTTAGTAAATTGCAGGTGTTCTTTGTCAAGCACATCTTGTGATGTTTCTGTAGAACGCCATGTCCTTGCATATTATGAGTACAAGCTCATACTCTACTATGATTCGGCATTTCCAACCACTTGTCTGCTATTAAATATCCTCTTCTGCACAGGAACGAGTGCTCACAGCATGATCAGTACAGTATGGATAGAAGGACACTGCTTAGCTCTGCTGTCTATTCCACTGCATGGAAAATTAGTTGTTCCAAGCAGGGATTATCCTCAAAATGTACAAGAATTACTTTTTTACGATTTTTTATTATTATTTTTTTTTGGGG